GCACTGTGCCAGACACTCAGACATGCTCATTAGTATCTTGGAAGAAGGTCTCTCGTTATGTGTCTTCGGTCTTTACACCTCTTCATTTACAATTCTCATATGGTCAGGGTAAAGAACTAGTTCAAGAATTCAAATGGTAAATGACAGACTTGAGACTCCAAAAATATCTCAACAGGAAGGAAGAATGATCCTAAAATGAAATGAGTAGATTATAATAGGACTATATGAAATAATGCCCATAGGTTAGGAAAAAAAAATAAAAAGAAGAAGCTATTATTCTAATTGTGGATAGAAGAAATGACATTCAGATAGATGTTTATGTGTTTAAAAATACAAAACTAAGGGACCAGCAGTTGGCATAATGACTATGTCCCTGGACTCCCATGTAATTGACTGCAGTTCGAGTCCTGGACCCGGCAGCTTAAACTCATGCCAGGCACGTGTGTGTGTGTGCCAAAGATCCCAAGAGGAGAATGGAGGAGAAGGGATTGCAGAAAGGCCATCCTCCCTGAGGGGTGATTTCTCACTTTCTGTCTCTCTGTCTTTCTGGCAAGCACACACACCCTATAGCAAACACCTCTCCAAGAAAAAAAAAATAGCGTTTTTTTAATTATTACTCCAAATTGCATAGTCACAAAAAAATGTAATGCAGCTGCCCGACGTTGGTAGATAACCATTTCTTCTGACTTGTGCCCTGGTTAGATGTCATCGGAAGTCTTGACTGTTGCATTTTTTCAGGGGAAAGAAAAAGTAAGACATGCACAGTATAGTGCAGTGGAAAATCAGTTCCCTCACTGATAAAATGGGGATGGAAGCACTTTCCCTTGTTTGAGCTAAGGATTAGATTACATAATGCAAATAAACGGCTCAGCACAGTGCCTGGCTCATAACTGGGAGCTATTATTATTCTCAGGGAAGAGTGGTAAGAATGGTCACAACCATAATATGAGAAGTTGCAGATCCTTAAATGTTCTGCCTGTAAAAGGGAAGCTTAAGAAGGAATATGACAACTGTCATCAACCATTTGAATGACCATGACATAGAAAAGGGATTCACGTTAATCAGCCTAACTCGAGAAAGAAGAACCAGGACCAATGGATAGAAATTATAGGAAGATATATTTTGACTTCCTAAGAAAAAAAATTTTCCATTTGAAGGTGGAAAAAATTTTTGAAATTGATGCATCATTTTTTTATAATATTCATTTCCTTAACTTTTTTGAAGATACCTCCTAATAGTCACAGCAGTAGTAATTAAGAATAAAAACAGCTCTTAAACTATTTCACTGACTGTTTTCAACTCTGCATTCTTATTTAATCCTCAGAAATCTCCATGTGGTAGGTATAATTCTCATTTTACAGTTGAAGAAACTAAAGCACAGAGATACTAAATGAATTTCCAATAATATTTAATTTAGAAGTGGCAGACTGAGTTGGGATTTGAGTCTGAGTGATCTGGCTCTTAAATCAGGTCTCTTCTGATACAGGGAATACCTCAACTATATAGGGGAAGGCTGAGTGACTGTATGTCCTGTTAGCCAGGGGATTCCTGCACTGAGGAGTGATTGACAGGAGCATTGCTATAGTCCCTTCCAAAAAGTATCTGTAATTTTATAAGACAAGACCCATATCCAAGCAAAACATACAATACAATATCTAGACACTAATTGTTACATATTTTTCTCAACACACACACACACACACACACACACAAATATCTAAGGTGGTCACCTAGAACCTATTTACTCCCACTTTAAACTCAGTTATAAAAGAATGGATATTCATTATCTTGTTCAAAGTGGAATAGAAGAAATACATTTGAATCTGGGAGGAATAATAAAACTAACAATGAAAAGAGACTACTAAACCTTTGTAAGGGAAAAGGGAGAGATTAACTCATTGAACAAATACGAATAATCACCTCGACTGTGCTGTGATCACAAAATCACTGTGGAACAAAATACGAACTCAACAGTCACTGTTCTCCCCAGATATTTAGACACTCCAATAGCCTTCAGGTTTTTCTTGAACTTCTCTATGAAATGGCATTTTTTCAAGGCTTTTAAAAATGATAAATTATATCCAGTTTTGGAAAGGAAGTATACATGATATTTGAAAAAGATTTTATATGAACTGAGTAATTTGACTTTAAACTTTTGAGGCTATGAAGAATACACTTCAATTATCTCAAGACAGCTTGCTCTCCAGTAATGACAGATGTAGGTCTTACTGCGCTAAAATATTTTAATATACTTCAATGGGAAAAGCTCTGGTCTAGACATTTTTTGCTATTAGTGTGATTTGTGGGAAATTGCCTTCTGTGGGCCTCAGTTTTCACATCTATAAAGTGTGGTGATTTGACTAAACTATCTCAGTTTCCTTTAAGCTTGAACATTTTCTATTTCTTTTATTTCTTTAATTATGCTTATTTCCATCATGTAGATGCGAGATGGCAAGATGCCCTGGCAGTGTGTGCAGGACCTAAATTGATTCTGGGAAAATGGGGCACAAATGATTCCTAAGGTATAAGGAGCCGAAGCACACAGAAGCCTCTCGGTTCTATTTCTATTTCTGTTGGCTATAAAATCTAGGCATGGTTCAATACTGGGAGACATCATCTAGCTTTTAATATCAGATTTTAAAGTTGCCTAACAAAACCCATCAAGACTGTTTAGTGCTCAGAGTACTGTGATGTCATGAGGGGGAGGCAGGTGCAGTGTAGCACAAAAGCCTTCATTGCCCCCCTTCACCTTTAATTTCGTTCAATCTTTCGAAACGTTAAAGAGAAACGTTATCTCTTGGTCTGTTGTTTATAAAGATAGTTGCTGCTCTGTGTGTGCTTAGAGGGCTGCATGGATGAGTGAATCTGAATTGTATTCAGTGAAGTTTATTACACTCTGCCACGTGGCCCTCACGTCCTTCTCTGTTCTGGTCTTGCTATTAATCATTTCAAAGTCACATTTACAGTGAGGTTGCAGGTCTCATGTGTTGTTGTTATTGTTTTAAAATACATTTCATTGTGTATAATAAAGACTTACAACATAATGCTGTGAGATACATACAGATAGTGAAAGGTTCCTATAGTGAAGCAGATTAACCTGTGTATTATCTCAGGCTAGCCCTGTGTGCTAGGGATTAAGGGAGTGGGATAACACATGGTTGACCTCCCAGCTCGAATCTCAGCCTCAGCATCTTGAAAAATAGGACAGGTACATGTTAATGTGTACCTCAAATCCAGAGAGGTCAGAGAAAAGGAAGAGAAAGAATTGTAGTGTGACTATGCCCCGGGTAGAGAATGCTTTCTCTTTCTGTTTCTGTCTCTTTTTCTTTCTCTGGCAAGTGCATGTATCCTTGGGCAAATTAGAAAAAATAATAATAATAATAACATATCTCACATAGTTTTTTTGTATGTAACTATAGCAGCTTAAATCTAATTATTTAACCATTTCTAACATAATACAGTTTCTTAACTTTAATCCTCATATTGTACATTAGCTTCTGACTTGTTCATTCTACGTAGCTACTGTTTTGAATCATTTGACCCACATGTCCCTATTTCCTCCCCTTTTCTGGGTGTGTGTATATATATATATATATATGTGTGTGTGTGTGTGTAATATATATTTAAGATTTTCAAAAAAAGCTCACAGAGTTTTGACAAAGCTACTCCATTTGCCGCTTTGATGCTAAATACCTTGATTTGCTTTTAGTTTCATCTGCTTCTTCAGGAACCTTTCTGTATCAGCTAGAAGGCTAAAATCATTCAAAGGGGAATGAGGGAGATAACTCACTCCTATCAGTGTTGTAGAGCCACCCAAGGAGCTGGGCTATGAAGGAAATAGTGTCTGCTCAGCACCTCACAATTGCCGCAACTAACCGTAACTGCTTTCCTGGTACATGCCATCTCACTGTAAATGGCATTATTGGGCGGTGGCTAGAGTGTTGTAAATGGTAGGGATAGAACACTAGCTCAGAGGAAATGCAAATGCATTGCCTTTCTTCTGGCTCTGAAATACACTCTTCCAGTGGAGTTACAGGTAAACTTGGAATGAAGCTAACTAAGACTTTATCCAAACAACCTCTTCATTTCTTGGCTTCTGATGGGAAGGCTGTACAGTTTGTTTTAATGGTTGAGTCAACTAATACCAATCACAACTGTACTGCTTCTGAAGTTAGTATAAGATCTCTGTGCATGAACAATCATAACGTGATTGTTTAGGAATCTCAGTGAGAATTACCCAGGTGTTAAAAACACATGTCTATTTTCAGATGATAGAATCATTTTTAAACCGTGCAGTTATTTAAAACACATACCCAGACACACATACAGAGAATTGTCATATGGAGTTTATAGAAGATCACTAATTAATGCAAATTAGTTAATACATACATATAGGAGTTAAAACAAATGCTCATTAAAAAAGATATTAACTCCTCAAAGTTGTGGCTAAAAGAATGTGTAGGTGGATACAGTATTCAGATTCACTTCCTTCTTTTTTTTTTTTTTGTTTTCAGAGAGGTTTTTGCTATAGTGTGCGTGCGCTCGCCAGACAGACAGACAGATAGAAAGCAAGAAATTGCCCCCCCTGTGGGGGGGAGGGATGGCTGCAATCCTCTCTCCTCCATTCTCCTCTCGGGATCTTGGGCACGCACGCACATGTGCCCGGTGTGAGTTTCAAGCCACCGGGTCCGGGACGCAAACCGCGAACCGCAGTTGACTACATGGGAGTCCAGCGACATAGCCATTACACCATCTGCTGGTCCTGACTTCTTAATCTCTATAGTAACAGGCACAAAGGATTAGAGAAAGGAAAAGGACATAGAAAATTGTATACAGACAATAATAATTATGAATACTATTTATTAAACATCTACCATATTTCAGGTACTATGCTAAGCATACTTACCGTAACACATATATTAGGTCATTTAAAATTCTTCTTAGCTGTCTGAATTGCAGTCTATTATTTTATTCCTCAGAGAGATTTATAAAACTTGGTGATCTCTTCAGCGGCAACTATACCAAAATTGGAACCATACAGAGAGGATTAGTTGGCCCCTGCTCAAGGATGATATGCAAACTCATGAAGCATTCCATATTTAAAAACAAAACAAAACAAAAATTAGATAAGGTCTAAAAACTATGAAAAGGAAAGCTGGGGAGCCAGCAGGTGGTGTGATGGTTGGGGCGCTGGACTCCCACATGGCCAACCATTGTTCGAGTCCTGGAGGTGGTGGCTTGCTTTCTCACTCTTCCTCTCCCCTCCTCTCTGTCTCTCTAGTCAAATTAAAAAAAAAATCGTAGTAATAACAGATAAAATTAAATGATTAGTTCTTAAAAAAAAAAAAAACAAGAAAAGGAAAGCTGAGGATTGAACCCAGGTTTATCTAATTCCTCAGTCAAGATCTTAACTGCTAAGTTAGATCCTTTGAATCAAATCCTTTGATTCAAGGAGTACTATAGAATTCAGGTTCAAATCATTTCGGTGGCATCTTTATTCACAGATGGGTATGTCAAAATACTAGTTCTTGTAATTTGCCTCACCCCCATTTTGGGGGGATTACTCAAGCTATATCCTGCTTTTGGAAAGAGGAAAACATCATCAATTGATGGAGCAGAGTCTCTGCAGTTAGACTGTTTTTCATTTTAGTTTCTTCCTTGATGATGAGCAGAATCATGAATAATTAAGCCTCAAAAGTTGAATGATCGACAGCAGATTTACTAACTTGTTTACTTATAAGCAGGAGAAAGTGTAGAATAATTTTTAAAACATCCAAAGGCTCTCATTAGACTTTCTAAATATCCCTAAGATAGTGAAGGTGGTGTAGCTTAGGGGTTTAATTCACAGACATTTGAGTAGCATGTACTTAAGTTCAAGTCTGAATTGCGGACCCCTTAAAAATTATTTTAATCCCTCTATGACTGATTTCGGTGGTACATTTATAATAGTTAACTAGTATATACAGTGTAATATAAATACTTACATATAGGAACCAATAACAGTACCTACTTCTTAAGGTTGTAGAGAGCATTCAGAGAATTAAGTCAACCAAAGTGCTAGTTCAAAGCCTGGTATTCAACTGGCTGGAAAGAGGCTGCGTACAGCTGTTACCATAGTGATTAGAAGAGTTATAAACAGTCTGAGGATACTGTGAAAGTCTGTCTGGGTCTCCAGTGTTCCAGGTGAAAAGTGATAAATATTCAGTAAGTCTAGTTTGTAATACACTATTTTATAAAAGTGATAAAAATATCTTATATATGTCCCTTTTCCACTATCAGGAGGGGCCAGTTGGAAAACCTGCAGTTTTCCTGTCACAACCTTGCAGCTGTTCTTGGCCTGCCCACAGTGGCACACCGAGAGTGCCACCACCCAGGAGGTTGGGAGCCATATGGGAAGCTCAGATCTAGTTCCCCCAGCGATCTTGAATGTATTGACTACGGTCATGTACACTTTTAATCCTCGGTAATTGGGACGCTGTGGCAGGAGGATTGCAAAGAGACTCTGTCAAGAATTTCTCTCTCTCTGTTGCTTTTTCTTCCCCGTTCAGCCCCCCCCCCCCATAGAGGTGTGGGGCAGAGACTCAAATATTCTTTCTAAAAAGCTTTAATGCTTCACATTATCACTTTTAAGTGTCCCAATAATCCTATGAATTACGGATTATTATGTCCATTTTTACAAATAAAGAAACTAAAAAGTAAATTGAAAGCCACCCAGTAAGTAGAGATGAACAGTGATATTAATCCAGGTTGTCTGTCTTTCAAATTCCAGTTCTTTTTAAACATTAAGATTTAGAGACCATGTGGACCAAGACACAACCCATTTTCCATTTGCAAATACTGGGGTTCTAAGATTGAAAGGATCACACAGCAAGTTTAAGGCAGAGCTGAAACTAGACTTGAGATTTCTAGTCCATGTTTAGAAATCTCTCATCATTTCCAGGCAACTTGTGTCTATTATATGTTTGTAGAGGAATAATAGAAAGAGAATTAGAGAGACACAGAGAGAAAGAGAGAAAGAAAGAAGGTAGAAATGCAGCAATGAGGGGAGGGAGAGAGGGAAAAAAAAGGACTCCCATATGAAGGCTAGTTCGAGAGCAGGCATTTGGGGATGGTCTCTCTACTAGGGCTTCCATTCTTGGAATAGTCTATCCCTGATAGGAGAAGTGGAAGTAACCAGAGACTACATCTGTATATATTTGTCTCTGTCCCCATTCTATCATCAATATGAAAATAGTGATTACAAATAAACATAGTTGACAGTAGCGGATAGCCACTCCTGTGACTTCCTCATGGCCAGATGAGGCACCACCATCACCACCTATAGAGGCTTTCTCTCTCCACTGGTCTGCATTGCTGGGATGTCAGAACCTGGCAGATTAGGTTCCTCAGAAGACTGCAGAGCAATTCACTCACGCAGAGGCATTTTCTTGACATTTTGACATTCGTTCAGAGAAAGGCAAAATGTTGGCCAAGGGCCCAATCATCAGGCCTATCAGAATCAAACTATATTTTCTGAGTGGCTGTCGATAGAATGTGCATGAGATTATTATTGTTTGCCAACGCTCTATTGATCTTGGCTTTGTGAAGCTCAAAATCTGTTTACAGCCACCTATAAAAATGAACGACCACTTCTTTTACTGAAGGTTAACGTGGTATGTTTATTTAATTGAATGGAAATGGCTTTGTGTTTTCCAAATGTCATTGTTAATAAATTTTCAAGGGAATCGGGTGCCGAGTGTGTAGGGGTGAGGATGAGAGAACGGCTGGTGGGGGCCTGGGCCATTGCTGGGACTAGGAGTAGCTGGAGGCAAGACATAAAAGACAGAAGCACAGATAAGATATTGGAAAAACGTTCCTATGTAGAAGTGCTATAAAAAATCCTTGCTCTATATTAGTGTTGTTTTTTAAACTTGTCAGTAAGAATTCTCCCTTGGGTGTTTTATACTTCGGATTATGTCTGTTTTTGCTCGCTCTTTGAGTTCTCCCAAAGTGTTTTAAAGTGACATTGAGCATTTTAGTTTATTATGAATGGGGGGGGGCAATAATATTTCCCACTATCATTTAATGGCTTTTTCCCCTTCTGTAAGACATTCAATAAAAATAGCTAGAATTGGGAGTGGTGTCAGAAGGAGACATACATTTGCAATTTCATAGACCTTCTTTTAAAGAGATGGGTTTCAGGAAAGAGGCTGAGAATAACCTGTACCAAAGCAATTAGAAGAGGTGTAAACAGTGTCAGGATGCTGTGAAAGTTTTTCCTAGGTGAAAGGTAGAAATTTCAGACAGTCATTGAATTCTTCAAATAGAAATATCAGAATAATTTACTAGATTTTTACCCCCAACTTTCCTCAGGAGATTTGTCCTTGTATATGTTGAACATGGGCAATTTCCACTTTAAAGGTTTTTTTGTTTGTTTTTGCTATAGGACATATGCACCTGATGGAGAAACAGAGACAGGGAGACAGAAAGCAATAAATCATCCCCCCAGGAGAATAGCCATGCCACAATCTCTTCTCCATTCTCTCTGGGTTTTGGGTGCTCACACACACACACACACACCCAGCAAGAGTTTCAAGCTGCTGGGTCTGGGACTTAAACCACAGTCAACCATGTGGGAGTTCAGTGCCTTAACCACTGTGCTACCTGCTGGCCCCTCTACCTTTAAGTTTTACTGTTCCCATTTTGCCTCAATCTCCCTAGCAGAAAAACAAAAACACAATCCAAATGTTATTCTTGAAACATGTATGTGAATGAATGGCAAATGAAATAACTAAAATATCTTCAATTCAGCCATTCACATTTTTAAGGAATTGCTGAGCTCCTTTGAGGGGTGAGACTGCACTAGGGGCTAGAGCTAGGAGAAAAAGTAAGACAAGGGTTCTCTCATCAAAGGTTGCTTGCTACGTGCCTTTGTGTGTGCACACACATGCGCACACTCTCGCATATGTGTGTATGTGTTGGTGAAGTGGATGTCTCTGCAAATACTGAACAGTTTAATGAGTGTTATGGAAGCTGTACATTGCAAGTATATTGGAAGTATCTGACTCTGACTAGGGGGCATTGCTTTAACATCTGGTAATGAGGCTATGTCTTTGTCTCTGTTCCCTCCTTTATTCCCACATCTAAGCTTAATTAAAATATCTGACTTCAAACAATCAATGCATTTTTTGATTTTGTGACCAGGTTCCTCCAGGAGGCTGACAGAAAATGTAAAGTTGTCTAGTGCTTTGTTTTGGGGAACACTACTTTAAAACATATTTGTGTATCTCAGGTTTTCCTTTCCTTTAAATACACAAAGGCAGCTTGGAGACAAGAGTTGGGAATGTGCAGCTTCATTTCTCTAAGTGATGCAAACTGTGGGAAATGAGAAGTAAGCAAGACTGAGGATTAGAATCACAAGATGTGTTTCTTTCATATGAATTCAATGCCCCCAAATCTCCTTAGTTCTGAGTTTAAAACAGATCTATAAAATCCTGTATTAAAAGAAATACAGTAGGAATGAACAAGGATGGGGGACTGGGAGTGGGCAGATGTGATCTTGAAGAGAACACTCTAAATGCAGAACATTATTCTCTGTCAATTAATTTTTACTTTTTATAGATTGTTAGACTATTAAGCAAAGTCTTATGAGAAAAAGTAGGTTTGTAGTGATCTCTAGAAATATGTTCCTGATAATGAATTAAATTAGGCCTGTGCATTGTGGACCCCTACCAGTTGTACTCCCTCTGGTGAGCATCTTTAATACCAGATGCAACCTAGTTAGAGGTGACATGAAATCACAGAATTTGATAAAGTTTTTTTCTTCCAAGTTAGGCAAATACAGATGAGCTCTTCTGTTACATCTAATATGCCAGATGCCATTTTTTGATAAATCGATTTGAGGATGTTGGAGGTCCAGGAACCAGAGTCTGATCCCGCTATTGGTAAGGTGACCTGATTTTTCTATTCAACAATGTGGCTCACCTTATCTGACCAAGTAATAGAAGAGAGTCCTGATTCAGAGCGCTGCCTGTGCAGTGGGATGTCTCTGAGTTGGAATCCTTTGTGGGGTAATCTAGGTCAAATTTATTAACCAGTCTCTGCATTACTTTCCTCATCTATGG